GACCCTCCACCTTACCTAACATGATATCCTTTTCCAGTGACTGGTCCCTCCTGACAATATGTTCGAAGAATGAGAAACGAAATTTGGCCATCTTGGCCTTCAGGGAACACTCTGGCTGCACTTCCTCCAAAATGTATCTATTGGTTCTTTTGGCAGCCCATGACACTTTCAATATTCTCCTCCAACACCATTAACTCAAAAGCGTCAATTCTTCTATGGTCTTCCGTATTCTCTGTCCAACTTTCACATGCATACGAGGTAATTGAAAATACCATGGCTTGGGTTAGGTGCACCTTAGTCCTCAAGCTGACATCTTTGCTCTTGAACACTTTTAAAAGGTCTTGTGCAGCAGATTTGCCTAATGCAATATCGTTTGATTTCTTGACTGCTGCTTCCATGAGTGTTGATAGTTGATCCAAGAAGAATGAAGTTCTTGACAACTTCATCCATTGATAAGAATGTTGTTTATTGGTCCAGTGGTGAGGATTTTTGTTTTCTTGACATTGAGATGCAATCCATACCAAAGGCTGTGCTCTTTGATCTTCATCAGTAAATGTTTTAAGTCCTCTTCACTTTCAGCAAGCAAGGTTATATCATCTGCATATCCTAGGTTGTTAAGGACTCCTTAGAGGGATGCAAATCAAGACCACAATAAGGTAACTATTGCATCACCAATAATTAAGTGCTTACCTGCTAGCCAAAAGAGAGGTAGTTTAAACCCATTGTGTGTCAGTACAAGAGAAAAGACTTAGTGAGTTGCTCCCCTGAAGATTACCACCACAGGAGCCCTAAGGGCTGTCACATAGGGTGACTATGAGTGAAATCACTTGAGGACAAACAATAGCAAGAATTGCTAATAATGTTCAGCTTGTTTTCATGTGCTTGCTGGTCATTGGTGTTTCTTCTTTAGTGAAATCTGTTACTCATTTTTTTTAGATTAGTTGTTTGTCTTTCTGTTGTTGTAACAATTCTTTATATATTCTGGATATTAAACGTTCATCTGATAAATAGTTTCCAAAATGTTTCTACTAATCTGTAGGCTGTCTCTTCACTTTTTGATTAAAGTCCTTTATTCAACACATAGTCCTTAGATACTGATGAAGGTGAATCTGTCTTTTGTGTGGGTCTTTTGTTGCTTGTACTTTTGCATTGTCAAGAACTAGGTCCAAAAAATAGTATCCGTATGTTTATTTTAGGAGTTCTATGACTTTAGTTATTTTATATTTAAGTTCTTGATCTATTATGAGTTAACTTTTGTGATTGATGTAAGATATGAGTGAGTCCAGCTTCATTCTTTTGCATATCAGTCCTGATGTGGCTCTGTAAGATAAGCACTGGAGTGCTAACCACAAGGTTGGTAGTTCAAACCCACCAGCTGATCCTTGGAAACCATACACAGGTTCACTATGAGTTGGAACCAACTCAACAGCACTTAACAACAACTACAATCCAGCACCATTTATTAAAGACACTATGCTTTTCATACCCTGACAAAACTCAGTTGACCATAAATATGTGGGTTTAGTTCAGGATTCTCAATTCTATCCCATTGGTCTATGTGCCTATTATTACATTAGTACTAAACTATTTTGATTACTGTAGTTTTATACTATATTTTAAAATTTGGAAGTATGAGTCCTGTTTTGCTCCTCTTCTTCAAGATAGCTTTGGCTATTCAGTCCTCTTTGGAATTCCTTGGGGTTAGGTCTTATTATTAGTCAGATGTCCCTGTGCAGGAGCCCTGTACAGTGGGTTAAGTAAGCATTGGGCTACAAACCAAAAGAGCAGTGGTTTGCAGAAGAAAGGTGAGATAGTCTGCTTCTGTAAAGATTTCCAGTCTCGGAAACTCTCTGGAGTAGTTCTACTCAGTCCGACAAGGTTACTGGAATGGCAGTGGGATTGTTTTTCTGTTTTTGTTTTGGTCCCTGGACAAGTTACTTACTCAGTCTCAATTGCCTCACCTATAAAATAAGGATAATAATATTTGCCCATCAAGAAGCTGTTCTCTTATGATGTGTACCTTGCACAACACAAATGCTGGAGTGACAATTCTGATGACTTCTACTGCTGTTTTCTCCATCTAAAGTGCTTGAATACCTCTTTTTGCTCTTCTCTGTAGAGTAAATTGCTCATGTTTCAAAGTCCATGTCTGTTTTTACTTTCTCAGGACATTCTCCTTTTATATCCCTGATATAGTTACTTGGCAGGGGCCATATCAATCAAGGAATTAAAATGAAAGGACAACATATTAATCGAGGAATTGAAATAAAGAAATGAGATGATGGGGATCCTGTGCATGAAAAACTCATTGTTTTAGCAGAGCAACAATGACTGTTTTCTTTGGATTGGCAAAGCCACAAAGAAATATTCTATGCACAGGCCCCTAGTTATTTTTTTTCGTCTTGAATCATTCTCTGATTTATTCATGATTTTATTAGTATCCCTTTACTTTAGATTTTGACTCTTCTACACTTTAGTATATTTTTATTAAAAGTTAGAAGCCATATATTAGCTACATTTTATTCTACTTGTAATCATGTGTAGTTTTGATACTTATATTGGCAATGTTCTTAGGACTGCTAGGAGACAGGATTTGTCAATTGAATTACTACCAGTTTAGGCTTAGTGATTATAAACATTCTTCTTTGTAGCCTTAGTTTGGGACAATAAAGAATCCTTAAAAGCAACTAAGCCATAAATAAAGGCTATGGGTATATAGATACGTAAATAAAAAGTTTGACTTAGACGTTCTTAAATTAATGATTAGTAAAATAGGGGAATTGTTTTCATAGCCTCAGTTTTTTAAATGTACTGATAAGTGATGTTTTTGTAGGCTATACACAGATAGTGTGTGGAGAAAGTTAAGGAAGTGTAAATTACACCCGACAATTAGGATTGATGATTTAAGACTTAACAAAAAAAGGTCAAGAAACATATGTGAAGGTCAACTTGCTTCTCAGAGAATAGAAGTTATTTATGAACAAATGATTTAACTAAAAGGTTTCAAGGCGCCAGAATGTCTCTCGTATGTGTTGATGTAATGTTTCTTTGCTGTAACTTCTCATCCCTATTGTAAATCTAAGGGTCGTACACCATGAAGAATGTGCCCCAGGACAGATTGTATTTTGAGGACATTGATTACTATGAAAACAATGTTTTTTGTAACGGTATATAAGGGGTTGTAAGATAGAATAAGGCAGAAGGAAAAAGTAGAGGTAAGTAGAGGAGAAGAAGGAAAAAGAATGGCAGAAGAATAAAGCAGGAGGGGAGAAGGAGAATGAAAAAGCAGAAGGTAAAAGGAGAAGAAAGGTAAAGCAGGAGAAGGGGGAGTAAAGAAATGGAGGGAGATTAAAGAAGCAGAAGGAGAATGAAGGGAGAGGAGAGGGAGAAGGAGAATAAAGAGGGAGAATGGAAGTAGAATAAGGAAGTAGAGAAAAGAATGAGGAGGAGAATGAAAGAGGAGAGGGAAGAAGAAGGGAAAAGCAGGAGAGGGGGGAGGAGAGAAAAGAATGAGCAGAAGAGTAAAGAATGAGCAGGACAGTAAAAAATGAGAGAAGAATAATAAAACATGTAAGAAGAAGATTTTGAATTCATCATGACCTATTGACTCCATGTAATTCTTTCCCGCGGACACCCGCATCTGCCTTCGGAAACCCTGGAATAAATTTGCTGGGGCTGGCTCCCGGCAGTTACTGATTCGCTCTTTAGGCTCCTGTCATGCTTTCTCCTCTATCAGCTCATCAACATCTTTCCCTTATACATATGTTGTTGTTGTTAGGTGCTTTTGAGTCAGTACCGACCCATAGCAGCCTTATGCACAGCAGAATGAAACACTGCCCAATCCTGGGCCAACCTAGCTATTGTTGCCATGCTTGAGTCCATCGATGCTGCCACTTGACCAATCCATCTCGTTGGGGGTCTTCCTCTTTTTCTCTGACCCTCCTCTTACCAAACATGATATCCTTCCCAAGAGACTGACAATATGTACGAAGTATGAGAGACAAAGTTTGGCCATCTTGGCCTCTAAGGAGCTCTCTGGCTGCACTTCTTCCAAAATGGATCTATTGGTTCTTTTGGCAGCCCATGGCACTTTCAATATTCTCCTCCAACACCATAACTCAAAGGTATCAATTCTTCTATGGTCTTCCTGTCCAGTTTTCACATGCATATGAGGTTACTGAGAATACCATGGCTTGGGTCAGGCATACCTTAGTCCTCAAGCTGACATCTTTGCTCTTCAACACTTTAAAAAGGTCTTGTGCAGCAGATTTGCCTAATGCAATACGTCGTTTGATTTCTTGACTGCTGCTTCCTTGAGTGTTGATAGTTAATCCAAGAAGAATGAAGTTCTTGACAACTTCAATCATTTGTCCGTTGATAAGAATGCTGTTTATTGGTCCAGTGGCGAGGATTTTTGTTTTCTTGACATTGAGATGTAATCCATACTGAAGGCTGTGCTCTTTTATCTTCATCCGTAAATGTTTTAAGTCCTCTTCACTTTCAGCAAGCAAGGTTGTATCATCTGCATATCGCAGGTTGTTAATGAGTCTTCCTCCAATCCTGATGCCACGTTTTTCTTCATAGAACCCAGCTTCTCGGATTATTTGCTCAGCATACATGTATGAGGGGGCTTCAAATGTCTGAAAAATTCCTTTATATCTCTTAATTCCATTTTCCCACAAACCTTCTGAAACTCTCCCTCCCACCACCCCCCTCTATGCTGTATGCCCCTTCCACTTGCCAGGGACCCAGGATGTTGAATTAATGAACTAACAAAACATAAAAGGATTGAGCCAAATGAAAAGAATGATTTGAGATGAGTATGGTTCATTGACAAATGTGTAATTTAGAAAGTTTGAAAAAGTTGCTTGTTTTCAGTCAGGTGATGTTAGGGCATTAAGCAACAAATACACTAGACAAACACCAAAGATCAGGAGCACCTCTTCTCTGTTTACCTGCTAGGTCTATTAAATATCTGTTTTTCATGTTTCACACCATAGATCAAGTTTCTCCTGATCTACAAACGAAACTGAATATTGTCACAAACATCTTTGAAGAAGCGGAGGGTGAGCTGTCACCACCAGAGTATAACTTCTCAGATGTGTCCTGGGAAGAAGAAGTGGATGATCTAGTCTCCTGGGCCAAAACTCTCAATACAGATACTTTAGAGGATTAAGCCTAATGCTGCAGAATTAAAAGAAATAAACAAACAGCATCAATCGCAAACAGCTTCATGGATTGACTTAATGAAACTCTCAAAACTTCTTTTCAAGTTGGTCTCATCCTTTCACTTAATTAATTACAGATTAGAACTTTAACTACAAGTCATTGAATATTGCTCTGGATTTTTTTTTAAATCTCTGCTTCTTTGTTTGGAAGTAAGATAACAAGACTAGTGGTGTTCATTGTTATACTTCAATCAGTGGTATTATATGTCCATTGTTTTTGTTGTTAAGTGCCATCGAGTTGGTTTTGACTCATAGCAGCCCTGTATAGGATTTCCAAGGAGCAGCTGGTGGGTTTGAACTGCCAACCTGTCAGTCCAGCACATTCAGTCCAGCACATTCACCCGCAGTGCCACATTGTTAGATAACTGGATGGGCATTTTTGCTGGCAGGAAGTGGGTCAGGCGGAGGCTGAGAGATAAGGGGACCACACACATTTCAGAAATGTGACATTATCCACGTAAAGGGGTCTATGTATTTATCAGCACCTGCCCAGTTTCATACCTTGAGAGGGGATAAGATGTAACCCTTTCAACACTGTCCCTCTATTGTTTTCTTCCAAAGTGCACTTTCTATTTTCTCTTTGACCTTGATCAACCAGTCCCTCAGTTTCTGATACCTTCACTTTATCCCTCTCCATTTGCTGTGTTGCCTAAATCCATAAACCAGCTCAGCTCTCTCCTATAATATGTCTCTGCCTTTGACCGTACCTCTCCTTTCCTGTAAGATTAGCTTCCTCATATTTTCTGTCAGGCTTCTAAATAGTAATCAATCATTTTTTTCTCTGTGAGGTCCTGGTGTGCTGTAGAGTAAGCACTAGACTGCTTATCATGAAGCCAGTGGTTCACACCTACCAGCTGCTCTTCAGAAACCCTATACAGGATCACTGTGAGTCAGAACCAACAACAACAACCGTAATTTGTTCTCTTTATTTCTTTAATTTACATTTACACTCATGTCACAGTAGAATCTCTCTTTGTTTCATGTTGTTAGTAGCTCCTATTAAGCTAGCCCCTGACTCTGGCCATCCCATGCATGTGGAACAGAATGGTCCTGTATCATATCCATGTTCAGATAGGGATTGGACCTTTGTGATTCACAGGGTTTCCATTGGCTGACTTTCTGAAGTAGATTACCAGGGCTTTCTTCCTAGTGTTTTTTAGTCTAGAAGTTCAGCTGAAACCTATTCAGCATCATAATAACATGGGAACCTCCACTGAAAGATGGGTGGTAGCTGTGCATGAAGTCCACTGACCAGTGATCCAATTGGGGTTTCCTGCATGAAAGGCGAGAATCCTACTACTGAACTGCTCATCACAGTTCACGAAAATTAGTTGTTATCATCACAAATTTCCATATTGGGCAACGCAATCAATTCCATACCTCACTGGGCCTCTAGACCATAGTTGACACTATTGATCAATTTTTTCTTTTTAAAATGTTTATTGGCTTGCCTTTAGATAGACTTGTTTTGAGGGTTACCCACTGACACACACACACCTCTCCCCACAAACACCATACGTACACCTATGCCTGACCTTGGATAGATAGGTCTCTCCCTCCTTCTGAGTTCCTGTGGAAGAAGACAACAAGCTCTGTTACATATATTCCAGTCTCTTGCCACTAGGCTGGCTACATAGATGTTTCCAAGTCTACAAGCACAATTCAGACAATGGGGACCACTACTGATTATAGAGTAGTTGATACTTTTGGAAATTGTCCCAACCCAGACCACAAAATTCAGAGATTTCCCAGCTTTCCCTTCCTCTGGCTAGTGCTGCAGTACAGCTAAGAGCCAATTAGACAAGGGCCCACAGATGTGATAATTAGGAGTTATTTTTACACCCAATAAAAACAGGCACTCTGAAAGATCCTCCTCATATCTCAGTGACACTATGTTGTTGTTGTTGTTAAGTGCTGTTGAGTTGGTTCCAACCCATAGCGACCAAGTATAGGGTTTCCTAGGAGCAACTGGTGAGCTTGAACTGCTTACCTTTCAGTTCAAATGGCTTCACAGTCTGGCACATTAACCCACAATGCCACACCAGGACCCCTTCTGACTTATAGCAACCCTGCATAGGATTTCTGAGGAGCAGCTGTTAGATTTGAACCACAAACCTTGTGATTCAAACTGACCTTACAGCACATTATCCTGCAACCCCACACCAGGACTCCAGTGCTGCTATAATTGTTATTGTTAGGTGCTGACTCATAGTGACCTTATGCACAACACAACGAAACACTGCCCGATCCTGGGCCAACCTCACTATTGTTGCCACACTTGAGTCCATTGATACTGCCACTTGGCCAATCCATCTCGCTGGTGTCATCCTCTTTTTCTCTGACTCTCCACCTTACCAAACATGATATCCTTCGCCAGTGAATGGTCCCTCCTGAAAATATGTCTAAAGTACGAGAGACGAAGTTTGGCCATCCTGGCCTCCAAGGAGCGCTTTGGCTGTACTTCTTCCAACACAGATCTGTTGGTTCTTTTGGCAGCCCATGGAATTTTCAATGTTCTCCAACACCACAACTTAAAAGCTTCTATGGTCTTCCTTATTCTTTGTCCAGCTTTCGCATGCATATGAGGTTATTGCAAATACCATGGCTTGGATCAGGTGCACCTTAGTCCTTAAGTTGACATCTTTGCTTTCAACACTTTGAAAAGGTCTTGTGCAGCAGATTTGCCTAATGCAATATATCGTTTGATTTATTGATTGCTGCTTCTATGAGTGTTGATAGTTGATCCAAGAAGAATGAAGTCCTTGACAACTTCAATCTTTTCTCCATTGATAAGAATGTTATTTATTGGTCCAGTGGTGAGGATTTTTGTTTTCTTGACATTGAGAAGCAATCCATACCGAAGGCTGTGCTCTTTGATCTTCATCAGTAAATGTTTTAAGTCCTCTTCACTTTCAGCCAGCAAGGTTGTATCATCTGCGTATTGCAGGTTGTTAATGAGTCTTCCTGCAATCCTGATGCCACATTTTTCTTTATATAACCCAGCTTCTCAGATTATTTGCTCAGCATACAAGTTGAATAAGTATGGTGAAAGAATACAACTCTGTTGCACAACTTTCTTAATTTTAAACCATTCAGTGTTCCCATGTTCTGTTCAAATAACTGCCTCTTGGTCCAAGTACAGATTCCTCATGAGCACAATTAAGTGTTCCAGAATATTCATACTTTGCAATGTTGTCCATAGCTTGTCATGATCCACACAATCAAAAGCCTTTATGTAATCAATAAAGCACAGGTAAACATCTTTTATAGAAGTATCAAAAATGGGAGGCTTTAAAGTCCTGGTGTGGCGCTATAGATTAATGCACCAGACTGCAAAGCCATTTGAACTGTAAGGTTGGTGGTTCAAGCTCACCAGCTGTTCCTTGGAAACCCTATAAAAGGTCACTATGGGTCAGAATCGACTCGATGGCACTTAACAACAACAAACAAACTATCAATTCACAATAAAAGCTTTTAAAAAGAAAAAAAAATGGGAGGCTTTATAAAACACATTTATTTTCTTACAATTTTAGAAGCTGGAAGTCTGATTTCAGGACATCTGCTCTAGGTGAAAAGAACTTTGTTGACTCTGTAGGAGAAGTGATGGATTACTAACCACAGGCCGGCAGTTCAACCCCACCAGCCACTCTGTGGGAGAAAGATGAGGCTTTGTGCTCCTGTAAAGATTTGTAGCCTCAGAAACCCTATACAGGGTCACCATAAATCTGACTCAATTCCATAGTGATGAATGGGCTCTAGGTGTCTGCTCTGGGGTAAAATTCTTGTCTCGGTATTTGATGTTTTTGGAGATCTCCAAGTGGCACTTATTTTTATCCAGTTGGTGCTTCTTGCTTCTGTGTGTAATCCTTTACATATTAAAGGTGATTCGCATAAGACACATGCTACAGTGATATGGACTTAACACAGAAAAATTTATTTCTTAATGGGATTACATTCACAGGTATGTCATTGTTGTTAGGTGCCTTTGAGTTAGTTCCAACTCATAGTGACTTTATTCACAACAAAACGAAATACTGCTCAGTCCTGTGCCAGCCTCACAAACATTGCTACTTTTGAGTCCGTTGCTGCTACCACTGTGCCAATCTATGTCAGTAGTGGGACTTCCTCGTTTTCATTGAGCCTGCACTTTACCAAGCATGAAGTCTTTCTCCTGGAACTGCTCCATCCTGATAATATGTACAAAGCATGAAAGAGGAAGTCTCGCCATCTTGGCTTCTAAGTAGCATTCTGGCTGTACTTCTTCCAACACAGATTGATATGTTCTTCTAGCAGTTCATGATACTTTTAACATTCTTCTCCAACACCATGCCTAAAGTGCACCAATTCTATGGTCTTCCTTATCATTGTCCAACTTTCACATGCATTTGACGCTATTGAAAATACCATGGCTTAGTTCAGGCACACCTTAGTCCTCAAACTGGTATCTTTACTCTTGAACACTTTAAAGAGGTTTTGGGTAGCAGATTTACCTAATGCAATACATCATTTGATTTCTTGACTGCTGCTTCCATGAGTGCTGATGGTGGATTCACGAAAAATGAAGCATTTGAAATGTCAATCTTTTCTTCATTTATATGGATATTATTTATTGGTCCAGTGGTGAGGATTTTATTTTCTTTACATTGAGGTGCAATCCATACCAAAGATGTTGTCTTTGATCTTCACCAGTCTCTTCACTTTCAGCAAGTATGGTTGTATCATCTACATGTCACAAGTTGTTAATGAGACCTCCTCCAATCCTGATGCCATATTCTTCTTCATACAATCTAGTTTCTTGGATTATTTGTTCCGCATATAATAGATACATGGACAGAGACATAGGCTGAATGGGTATGGGAGTAAGATTGAGATTATCTATCTATCTATCTATCTATCTATCTATCTATCTATCTATCTATCTATTTCTATATAGGGTTTCAGAAACTTT